AAGGGAACTACGGTGTTACACGCCGTATGGGGGTCCAGCAGGGAGCCTAAATCGTTTGATCTTTTCTTTAACTCTGTTTACGTGATGGACACAAATATCTGGCTTTCTTCTCTGAGCCTGGGCTCCGCGGACCCTCTCCCACTTCAACGGCTGTGGGAGGGATCTTGGGGAAAGATTTATTGACTAGATAAGGGCCTTGTACTTGGCATTTTTAGTTTCCAAGGAGCTCCTTTCAAATGCTGATGTGAAATTTGGAAGGAAGTCACCCTATGCATGGTCGAAACCAAGCAGGATGGATTCTCCCATCCCAAGACAGTGGGACCTGCCCAAGGACTCACAGGGCCAGTCAGGAAGGCGCACCTAGTAAGTCAGGTGACATGCACACCGTGAGCACTGTTTAGTGCAAAGGGCTATATGCCACAGTGACAGTGTCACTGGAGAGGTAGATTTCATATCTAGTCCATCGTAACCATGAAACAGGACTCCTTAAAGCATGAGAAACCCTCTGCAAAAGTTGGCCCCACTTCTGTGCAGCAAGATTGAGCTCTGCAGATGAAGTGCAGGCAGCTGAATGGTGACTGAATGGTTAAGCACCCTTGGATGCCAACGCCCATGGTCCCAAAGGTCCTGTTGCATAATCTCGTGTTAGTAAATGTTAATATTGGAAATCTTAATACGTTTCTGGTTTGGCGTTTTCTCTTTAAGAGCCGTTTATAAGACACGTACACACAAGAAGGCAGTTAAGCCATGACAGCACACACGTTTCTAGTTCTTTTTGCCTTGTTAATACATTAAATTTACAGTATAATTTGCAGAAAACCTCACCATCCATAACTTGGCTGTTACTAGCCTGGTGATATCATAAAATATATGAACTTGGGGATTTTTGCAGTGGCCAGGACAGAGGACGGCTTCGCCTGAGAGAGTAATTCAGGTATTTCTCCTGCTCCAGTGAATGGAAGTCAACCTTTATCTTCCACTGTTCTTTCCAATCTACGAATTTAACAAGGAATCTGCTCTAACTTTTCGTGTCTTCCTACTCTGTTATCTCCTTGTCCCAATCACATCATTTATGGAAATCTTGTTAAATTAAAAGAACTTAAAAAATCAATGCCTTTTGCAGGGGATGGGTGTGGAGTCAGAGTAGCTCAATGCTGAAGATTCAAGCCTGGCTAGAAAGGCTTTGAAACTCAAAAAATAAAATAAAATAGAAAGGGGAGAAAAAAGAGTGGGCGGGAGAGGACAGAGCAGAGGTAAAGGGCAAAAAAAGAAAGAGAAAAAAGCACATGGAGGAGTGAACGAGCATCCAGGACTCCGTGGGACCCTCAAGCTTCAAAATATTACCCAGGCCCTGCAGCCGCACGATCCTCATTAAATTCATTGGGAATAACCTGGCTAAATCCCTTCTTGACTCTTAAAAATAGCAGGAAACAATATCCTGAACTTAAAACAAACGTATAGTCGCTGTGAGCCAAGACCAGCCGCGCCTGGTGGACTCCCTTGGCCGCAGTCAGACCGTTAGCACCGTATATACACACGGATTTCATTTTAACTCTGGTCTTCACAACTGCCCCTTCCTCCCAGGCTGGCCTTTCCCTGGAAGTCGGCGGAGGTGCCTCGGTCCACGCAACACCAACAGGCTCTGGCTGCGCTC